TACAAAAGAAACAGGGACTGTGGTGAAAAGTAATGAGAAAATTCTTGTTCAGAAAAAATATGTATGACTTGTACCTTCTTTACAGTATACACAGACAGAACATACTTTATGTGGGGTAGTAGCAGGCAGGGAACTACAGAACATGGTGTGTTGTGGTGGTGGATACCCAGTTGGGGTTTATATTTCGCGTTGTGTTGCCTTTATATTTCATGACAGGATGGTGCTGACACCTAGCGGGAAATAGGCCTACCAAGCTCAGCCCAGGAGATGCCGTTTCTCTCTCACTCACGCACCCGACAACCTTCAGACAACAGTTCTGTCTCTCTCCTGCAGCTGGGGCCCAGCAGGTTGGGCCCCAGGGCAATTTAACCCTTAAATGGTCCAAATAGATCGACGTTCAAATTCGTAGTGCTACAAAAGTAGATCTACCTTTTTTACATATTTTCAAACATAACAAAAAAAAAAAAAAAAGTAGAGAAAAGTTTTTTTTTTTTTACACATTTTCACAAGTAAAACAAAATAAAAATCTACATTTTTTTTTTGCATACTTTCAGATGTTGAAAAAACGTATGTATACGTTTGGACCATTTAAGGGTTAAACAACGAAGAAAAGATCACCCCCGAATAAAGAACACGTCACCTCCGAAGAGTATCATTAATTCCTGCTTGGAGACGTACACACCCAAAATTCCATTAATAGTGTGGTGATAGTATGTGTGGTGGTGAGTGGTCGTGGTGGGTGGTGTGTGTGGTGGTGAGTGGTCGTGGTGGGTGGTGTGTGTGGTGGTGGTGGTGTGTGTGTGGTGTGTGGTGGTGTGTTTGTGTGTGTGTGGTGGTTGGTGGTGTGTGGGGTGTGTGGTGGTGGTGGTGGGGTGTGTGTGGTGGTGGTGGTGTGTGTGTGTGTGGTGTGGTGGTGGTGTGTGTGTGTGTGGTGGTGGTGGTGGTGTGGTGTGGTGGTGGTGGTGTGTGTGGGTGGTGGTGTGTGTGTGGGGTGTGGTGGTGGTGTGTGTGTGTGTGTGGTGGTGGTGGTGTGTGGTGGTGTGTGGTGGTGGTGGTGGTGGTGGTGTGTGTGATGGTGGTGTGTGTGGTGGGGTGGTGTGTGTGGTGGTGGTGTGTGTGTGGTGGTGGTGTTGGTGGGTGTGGGTGGTGGTGGTGGTGTGTGTGGCTGAGTGTGGTGGTGGTGGGTGTGTGGTGGGTGTGTGTGGTGGTGGGGGTGTGTGTGAGGGTGTGGTGTGTGGGGTGGTGTGGGGTGGTGGTGGTGGTGGTGTGTGTGGGGTGTGGTGTGTGGTGGTGTGTGTGTGGGTGGTGTGGTGGTGGTGGTGGTGTGTGGTGTGGTGGTGGTGGGTGTGGTGGTGGTTGTGTGGTGGTGGTGTGGTGTGTGTGTGTGGTGGTGGTGTGGTGGTGTGTGTGTGTGTGTGTGGTGGTGGTGGGTGTGTGGTGGTGGTGTGTGTGTGTGGGTGTGTTGTGTGTGTGGTGGTGTGTGGTGTGTGTGTGTGGTGTGTGTGGTGGTGTGTGTGTGTGTGGTGGTGTGTGGTGGTGGTGGTGGTGTGTGTGTGTGGTGGTGTGTGTGTGGTGTGGTGTTGGTGTGTGTGTGTGGTGGTGGTGGTGTGTGGGGGTGTGGTGTTGGTGTGTGTGTGTGTGTGGTGGTGGTGTGTGTGTGTGTGGTGGTGGTGTGTGGTGGTGGTGTGTGTGGTGGGGGTGGTGTGTGGGGTGTGTGGTGGTGGTGTGTGTGGGGTGTGTGTGTGTGGTGTGGTGTGTGTGTGTGTGGTGTGGTGGTGTGTGTGTGGTGTGGGGGTGTGTGTGTGGTGTGGTGGTGGGGGGTGTGTGTGTGTGGGGGTGTGTGTGTGGTGGTGGTGTGTGTGTGGTGGTTGGTGGGTGGTGGGTGGTGTGTGTGTGGTGGGGTGGTGTGTGTGTGGTGTGGTGTGTGTGGGGGTGGTGGGGTGTGTGGTGTGTGTGGTGGTGGTGGTGTGTGTGTGGTGGTGTGTGTGTGTGGTGGTGGTGTGTGTGGGGTGGTGGTGTTGGTGTGTGGTGGTGGGTGGTGGTGGTGTGGGTGTGTGTGTTGTGTGGTGGTGGTGTGTGTGTGGTGGTGTGTGTGGGTTGGTGTGTGGGTGTGGTGTGGTGTGTGTGTGGTGGGTGGTGGGTGTGTGTGGTGGGTGGTGGTGGTTGTGGTGGTGGTGTGTGTGGGTGTGTGGTGGTGGTGGTGTGGTGGTGGTGGTGTGTGGTGTGTGAGGTGGGGGGGTGGTGTGTGTGGCGGTGGTGTGTGGTGGTGGTTGGTGGTGTGGGGGTGTGTGTGTGTGGTGGTGGGTGTGTGAGTGTGTGGGGGTGTGTGGGGGTGGTGGTGGTGTGGTGTGGGGTGGTGGTGGTGTGTGTGTGGTGGTGGTGGGGGTTGTGGTGTGTGTGGTGGTGTGGTTGTGTGGGTGGTGTGGTGGGGTGTGGTGGTGTGTGTGGTGTGTGTGGTGGTGGTGTGTGTGGTGGTGGTGTGGTGGTGGTGGTGTGTGTGTGGTGGTGTGTGTGTGTGGTGGTGTGGTGTGTGTGGGTGGTGTGTGTGTGTGGGGGTGTGTGTGGGTGTGGTGTGTTGTGGTGGTGGTGTGTGTGTGTGTGGTGGTGTGGTTGTGTGTGTGGTGTGTGTGGTGGTGGTGGGGGGTGTGTGTGGTGTGGTGTGTGGTGGTGGGTGTGTGTGGTGGTGGTGTTGTGTGGGTGGGGGTGTTGTGTGTGGTGGTGTGTTGTGTGGGTGTGTGGTGTGTGTGGTGGTGGTTGGGGTGGGGTGGGGTGTGGGGTGGGGTGGGTTGGGGGGGGGGGGGGGTGTGGGGTGGGGGGTTTTTTTTTTTTTTTTTTTTTTTTTTTTTTTTTTTTTTTTTTTTTTTTTTTTTTTTTTTTTTTTTTTTTTTTTTTTTTTTTTTTGGGGGGGGGGGGGGGGGGGGGGGGGGGGGGGGGGGGGGGGGGGGGGGGGGGGGGGGGGGGGGGGGGGGGGGGGGGGGGGGGGGGGGGGGGGGGGGGGGGGGGGGGGGGGGGGGGGGGGGGGGGGGGGGGGGGGGGGGGGGGGGGGGGTGTGTTCTATTACACCATGAATGCATTTGTGAAAAGATTTTTGCAAAACTCTGTGGATACTACTCCACATTCTGTTTGTCTTTAAGTGCATCCAAAACCATATTATACTGGTCCAGTAGTTGAAAGAGGCAGGAATGATCTGCTCAAAATCCATGCTGCCCTGGATTGGGCAACTGCTGGGAATCCAAGTGGTTTGCAACCATGCTTCTTAGAACTCTTTCACAGATCTTTATGATGTGGGATGTTAGAGCTTTTGGTCTACAGTTCTTTGCTATTGCTCTGCTGCCACCTTTCTGGAGTGGGCTATATCTGTTGTTTTTAGTGACTGTGGGATTACACCCATGTCTACACTTCCTTTCCATAGCATACTTAAGGCATGCAAAAGGGGTTTCTTGCAGTACTTAATGAACACACAGTTCCATGAATCTGGGCCTGGGGCTGTGTGCATAGGCATGTTATCAATGGCTTCTTCAAAGTCCAGTGGAGTTAGGGCTATGTCAGAAATATGGCATACATTAACAGAGTTTTGTCGCTCATTCATGAAAAATTCATTTGGAGTGTAGATCTTTAGACTGAATAATGGGTTGCTAAATACAGTCATGCTGAGACTTCAATATCTCGCTCGTTTCTTTATTGCTATCTGAGCAAGGGCCCAATACTACATGTTTTTGCCTTGTTTTTGGCATATGAAAAGAAATATTTTGAATTTCTATCAATTTCATTAATTGCTTTTAGCTCTTCCTATCTCACCTGAATCCTGCATGAATCATTTAACTTAAACTTAAGTATTTTCCACTTCCTTAATCAGTGCTTCCTTACATATTTCATGTTATCTAGCCCCCTTGTGAAGCTCAGCAATTCTTCGTCTCCTGTAGAGGGAGCAGTGAGTGGTGGTATGAAGGGTGGCCATGGTGGGTGGCAGTGGTTGTAGTAAGTGGTAAGCAGCATTACATTTTGGTGGTAATAACTGAAGATGCTGGTTATATACACCAGCAAGAGTTCAGTGAGGCTGAAATAATTATTTTCTTTTGTTTTTGTTTTTTCAACACGTTGACAGCTTCCCACTGAGGCAGGGTGACCAAAACGAAAGAAAAACCCAAAAAAGAAAGAAAAAACTTTCATCATTCAACACTTTCATCATCGCTCATACATAATCACTGTCTTTGCAGAGGTGCTCAGATATGACAGTTTAGACGTCCCTTCAAACTGCCAACATCCCAAACCTCTCCATTAAAGTGCAGGCATTGTACTTCCCATTTCCAGGACTCAAGTCCGGCTAACCAGTTTCCCTGAATCCCTTCACAAAATATTACTCAGCTCACACTCCAAACTTATGAATTTTAAAACCCATCCCAGATGTTGATCAAGATATACCCATACTGTTTATTATGCTCTTAAAATCTTACAAGGAACATGAACCTTAAGAATAAAACGTCCCAGAAAATGGTTGATTAACTGCTATATCCAGTTTAAAAGTGGTTGTTTTACTTGATTTACAAAGCACTAGACTTATTTCATTATTCAGCACTTTAACAATATTCTACTGTGAACACTATCAAATTTACACTATCAATACCAACTTGTTACTGTTGTAACCAATTTACTCACATATTACACAAATAATCATAATGCAAGAAAAATTACTCAAAATTTATTTTCCATAATCCATGTCCATAAATTATTTTACATCACAAGCCAGGAGTGTGAGCAAATTTAGACATGTTTTATAGCAAATTTGACTTTCAGCCAAAGGATGGATGGGGTAGGGTTCTTAATCAGGCTGAGTCGCTCAAATTCTGCCACCACAATAAATTGGCCTACCATTGGCAGGAGCACAGTTTTAGGCTTTGTACTCAAAAATTTACATCAATGCTTTACAACCATGTTAATTTATAAATCAGAGTTACCATTATCTTAGCAAGAAAAATTCCACATATTTGTGATAAACTCACATGCTCGTAACTCAGCTTGAATCTTGCCAAGGTGAGCTGTCAAAACATAGAGGAAATACAAGACAACTTTGAGAAAACTGTTTCTGAAAAAGAAGTTTACTGTATGACAATTTTAATATTCTAACTGGAATGTAAATTACATATGGATAGGAAATACAAAGAAATTGAACATTACATAATTTTACTAATATAAAACTACTGTATTTAATTACATTAACAAAATTATACAGTTCGCACTACTATATAAAACATGCACTTAGGAACTACTGTATGAGTTTTGTTGTGGTCTAAGTGTTCAGGCTGGGTATGGCTGATGATTATTTTCTTGTTAGTTAACAATACTGTATATCAAAGAAAAAATTTAAATAAAAATAAAAGATAAATAACAAATGCATATACAGTATCTAATTCATTTTCTCTAAACATTTACCAAGTACTGCATATTAAACACACATTTTGTTATGTAACAGATATAAATAAAAACACTATATAATACTGAGAAAAATGGAAATACAGACTTACGTGCAATTCTTTCTGGATGAGGCTTAAATGGACTTGGATTAGGGTCAGAGGGACTGAAAGAAGGAGTTGGAGGAGCAGGCGGAGGAGATCCACCAGTGTAAAAGGCAGAGATGCTGAAATGAACAAAAAAAAATTATGGTTACCTTTAACACCCCTAGTAAGAGTACAATATACAGTAGGGCCCCACTTATACGGCAGGTTAGGTTCCAGGCTACCACCGTAAAGCGCAAACCGCTGTAAAGTGGAACATCCTTTTTTTCCACTTATAAATGCATACAAACACTAGATAACAAAGTGTCGGTTCTTTGAACCATTCATCTACAATCCTACTAGATAACAGGTTTACACTAACATATATTAAGTTAGCAATAGAACAAGGCATCAAAAAACAATAAAAAAGTACAATACACACATAGTGCACTCATTACTTACCTTAAAATATTTATAGTCTTAATCTAGGGTAAGATGAGCAGTATTCATTGTAAGAAATCAAGTGTGGTATGTATGGTAGTCAGCCAGGCTATCATACCAGGCCACATAATATTCTATTACATTTAAGCATCCTAGAGCGATAAAATGCATATACAGTTTACTCATTACTTACCTTAAAATATTTGTAGTCTTAATCTAGGGTGAGATGAGTAGTATTTATTGTAAGAAATCAAGTGTGGTATGTATGGTATGTATGGTGTGTGGTGTGTGTGTGTGGTGTGTGTGTGTGTGGTGTGTGTGTGTGGTGTGTGTGTGTGTGGTGTGTGTGTGATGTGTGTGTGGTGTGTGTGTGTGATGTGTGTGTGGTGTGTGTGTGTGGTGATGTGTGTGTGATGTGTGTGTGGTGTGTGTGTGTGTGTGTGTGTGTGTGTGGTGTGTGTGTGTGTGTGGGGTTTGTGTGGGGTGTGGGGGTGTGTGTGTGGTTGGTGTGTGTGGGTGTGTGTGGGTGTGTGTTGGTGTGGTGTGTTTTTTTTGTGGGGTGTGTGTGTGTGTGTGTGGTGGGTGTGTGTGTGTGTGGTGTGTGGGGTTTTTGGTGTGTTGTGTGTGGGGGTGTGTGTGTGGTGTGTTGTGGTGTGGGTGGGGGGTGTGGTGTGTGGGGTGTGTGTGTGTGTGTGGGGGTGTGTGTGGGTGTGGTGTGGGGTGTTTGGGTGTGTGTGGGGTGTTTGGGGGTGTGGTGTGTGGGGTGTTGGGGGTTGGTGTGTTGTGTGTGTGGTGTGTGTTGTGTGTTGGTGTGTGTGTGGTGTGTGTGTGGGGTGGGTGCTGTGTGTGTGTGGGTGTGTTGTGTGGTGTGTGGGTGTGGTGTGTGTGTGTGTCGTGGTGTGTGTGTGTTGGTGTGTGTCGTGTGTGTGGTGTGTGTGTGTGTTTGGTGTGTGTGTGTGTTGGGGTGGGTGGTGGGGTTGGGGGCGGTGTGGTCGTGTGTGGTGTGTGTGAGTGTGGTGTGTGTGTGTGTGGTGTGTATGTGTGGTGTGGTGTGTGTGTGGTGTGAGTGTGTGTGGTGTGTGGTGTGTGTGTGGTGGGGGGGACTGACGGTGATGTGGTGTGTGTGTGTGTGTGTGGGTGTGTGTGTGTGTGGTGTGTGTGTGGGTGTGAGGGTGGTGTGGGTGTGGTGTAGTGTGGTGTGTGTGGGGTGTGGGGTGTGTGGGGTGGTGTGTGATGGTGGGTGATGAGTGTGGTTTGTGTGTGTGTGTGTGTGTGTGGTGAGTGGTGGTGATGGTGTGTTGCGTGTGTGTGTGTGGTGTGTGTGTGTGGTGTGCGTGTGTGGTGTGTTGTGTGTGGTGTGTGTGTGTGGTGTGGTTTTTGTGTGTGGTGTGTGTGTGTGTGATGTGTGTGTGTGTGGTGTGGCGTGTGGTGTGGTGTGGTTGTGTGGTGTGTGGGTGAGTGTGTGTGTGTGTGTGGTGTGTGTGTGTGGTGGTGATGTGTGTGTGGTTGTGTTGTGTGGTGTGTGTGTGTGTGGTGTGTGTGTGTGAGGATGTGTGATGTTTGTGGTGTGTGTTAGTGGTTGTGTTTGTGATGTGTACCCCTCCCCCCAACCCAAAAAAGTGGTGTGAGTGTGTGGTGTGTGTGTGTTGTGCTGTGTGTGTGTGTGTGTTTGTGTGTGTGTGTGTGTGGTGTGTGTGTGTGGTGTGTGTGTTGTGTGGTGTGTGTGTGTGGGAGTGTGTGTGTGTGGGGTGTGTGTGTGTGGGGTGTGTGTGGGGTGTGTGTGTGTTAGTGTGTGTGTGTGTGTGTGTGTTAGGGTGTGTGTGTGTGAGGGTGTGTGTTGTGTGTAGGCGTGTGTTGTGTGTAGGGTATGTGCGTTGTGGTGTGTGTGTGTGTGTGGTGTGTGTGTGTGTGTGGTGTGTGTGTGGTGTGTGTGTGGTGTGTGATGTGGTGTGTACTCACCTTTTAGGTTTGTACTCACCTAAGTGTGAGCCGTTGCGGGGGGTCGAGTCCGAGCTTCCTGGCCCCGCCTCTTCACTGATTGAATAATAGGTCACTCTCCTGATGGCCGTGAGCTTTATAATACCTCTGCTTAAAGTATGTAAGGTCCTGCCTCACTTAACATCGCTTCCCAAACTATTCCACTACGGACTACTCTGTGGCTGAAGAAATACTTCCTAACATCCTTCGTGATTCATACTGTATCTTCAGCTTCCAACTGTTGTCCCCTTGTTACTGTGTCCAATCTCTGGAACATTGTCTTTGTCCAACTTGTCAATTCCTATCAGTTTTTTGTATGGTCGTTATCATGTCCCGCCCTATTCTCTCCTGTCCTCCAGTAGTGTCATGGTTGATTTCCCTTAACCTCTCCTCGTAGGACATCATACTCTAGCTATGGAATAGTCTTGTTGCAATCATTTGCACTTTCTCTAGTTTCTGTACGAGCTTGGCTAGGGTGGGTTCCAAACTGGTGCCGGCATACTCCAATTTGGGCCTAAGTATACGGTGTACAGGGTCCTGAACGATTCTTATTTTAGATGTCGGAATGCTGTTCTGAGGTTTGCTGGCCGCCCATTATGCTGCAGAGTTTTTGGTTAGTTGATGTTCGCTTAGGAGATGTGCCTGGTGTATTACTCACCCAAGATCTTTTTCCTTGAGTGAGGTTTGTAGTCTCTGACCCCCCTAAGTGTACTCCGTCTGCGGCCTTCTTATGCCCCTTCCCCAATCCTTCATGACTTATGCACTTGGTGGGATTGAACTAAGGAGCAATTGCTGGACCAGGTCTTTGCAGCCTGTCCAGATCACTTTGTAGTTCTGCCTGGTTCTTCGATCGAGATGTATTTTCTCATCAACTTTCACGTCATCTGCAAACAGGGACACTCAGAGTATATTCCTTCACGTTCATGTGTTCACAAATAACCAGATACAGCACTGGTCCTATGGACTGACCCCTGGGGACCCTGCTGGTCACAGGTGCCCACTTGACACTCGCCACATTCTTGACTCGCTGCTGTCTTCCTGACAAGTATTACCTGATCCATTGTAGTGCCTTCCTGTTATCCCGCTTCGGTCCTCCAGTTTTTGCACCAATCTCTTGTGTGGAACTGTGTCAAGCCTTTTGCAGTCCAGAAAATGCAATCCACCACACCCCTCTCTCTCTTGTCTTACTGCTGTCACAGTCATAGAACTCCAGTAGGTATTGTGAATAGGATTTCCCGTCATGAAAACCATGCTGGCTGCTGTTGATGAAGATCATTCCTTGCTAGGTGTTCCACCCACTCTTCTTCCTGATAATCTTCTCCATGATTTTGCATTAACTTTACATGTCAGTGACACTCGGTCTGTAGTTTTTAATGCTTTCATGTCTGTCTCCGTTTTTAAGATTGGGAATACATTTGCTGTCTTCCATGCCTCAGGCAATCTCCCTGTTTCGATAGATGTATGGAATATTTTGTTAGGGTTACACATAGCGCCTCTGCTCCCTCTCTCCATCCCATGGGGAGATGTTTCTGGCCCCATTGCCTTAGAGGTTTATCTAGCTCACTTCAGGAAAGACCTCTTCAACTGCTTCCTCGGTTGTGTGCACTATGTTTTGTGGGTCATTGCAGCTTGTGGTGTGGTGTTTTGGCCCCGACCGTTTTCGCTGTTCGCTTTTTGGGTTGTGCTGTTTGGTTGTTTCTCTAGTCGCAGTTGTGAACTTATTCTTGTTGTTGGAATCTCTTGTTGAGTTCTTCACTCATACTTCACGGTCATTTCCTGTTGCTCCTCCTCCTTCCTTCCTTAGCTGGATTACATGTCTTGTCTGTTGTTTTTCCTCCTGATGTGGCTGTACAACAGTTCTCGGGTCAGTTTTGGCTATTTGCTGCTATTGTCTTTTTCATATGTCTTTGGGCCTCCTTCTTATCTGTGCATATTCGTTGTCTGGCTCTCTACACTGTTCTCCTTATTCTCCTGGGTCCTTTTGCCTTCTTTATTTCTCCATTCCCTTGCACACTGGTTTTGCCTCCCTGCACCTTTGGGTTAACCATGGGGCCGCATCCTGGCTTTTCATTACTCCTGTTACCTTGGGTACAAACCTCTCCTCAGCCTCATTGCATTTTGTTGCTACTCATATTCCTCATATCATTAACTGGATTCCCTGCCAGTTCTTGTCCCACTGAACCCCGTTCAGTAGTTCCTCATTCCTGTGTATTCCCCTTTCTTGTAGTTTGGCTTCATTTCGTCCTGGCCTTCCTGATTCTCCCTCCATTGTAGCTCTACTGTGTATTCGAAGCTTTAAAACCACATGGTCACTGGCCCCAAGGGTTTTCATATTTGATGTCCTAGATTAATCTGCACTACTGAAGGTGGAAATCGAAGTCGCCTTGATGGTTCATCCTCCTCCTCTCTCTGTTTTAGTGTCCCTTCGTGTTGGTTACATGAAAGTTCTCCGGTACCACCTCCATCTTCCTTAGCCCTCCCATGTTCTTGGCCCCCCATGTGTGGGTTCAAAAGTTCTCCCAATCGATCTCCTTGTGGTAAAGTCCACCCAATGATCAAGGAGCTTTGCCCTGCATTGCATGAGCTTCTTTCTGGCCACTCTAGCCTGTGGTCAACCCATCGCTCTATTGCTCTCGTCGTACTCTTGCCTTGGCTCTGCTGTTCTGTGGTGGGTTATACGTCACTGCTATACCTCCATGGGTCCTCCTGAGTGAAGTGTTCCCAC